TGTAACATTAGATTTTTTATTTGAGATGTTTCTTTTTTGATATAAGCATTTATTTCTAAAAATTTCCCTCTTACAACTGCTTTTGTTACATTCCATAGATTTTGGTATGTTGTATTTCCATTTTCGTTTGTCCTGAGATATTTTTTTATTTTGTTTTTGATTTCTTCCTTGACCCATTGGTTGTTCAAGAGCACGTTGTATAATTTCCACACAGTTGTGAATTTCCCAAGATTTCTTCTATTATTGGTGTCTACTTTTATTCTGTTGTGATCAGAAAAGATACTTGATATGATTTCAGTTCTCTTAAATTTGTTCAGACTTGGTTTTTGGCCTAATGTATGATGTATCCTGAAGAAAGCTTCATGTGTGCTTGAAAAGACATGCATCCTCTTCCTGTTGGATGGAACCTTCTATTTCTGTCTGTTAGTTCCATTCGGTCTAAAGTGTAGTTCAAGTCCAGTATTTCCTTATTAATTTTCTGTCTGGATGATCTGTCCATTGTTGAAAATGTGGTATGTGGTATTGAAGTCCTCTACTATTAGTGTACCACAATTTATCTCTCCCCTTAGATCCTTTAATATTTGCTCTATACATTTAGGTGCTTCAATGTTGGGTGCATACATATTTATAATTGTTATGTCCTCTTGATGAATTGGCCCCTTTATCATTATATAATATCCTTCTCTGTGTCTTTTTAGAGTTTTTACTTAAATTTTATTTTGTCTGATATATCTACCCCTTCTCTCTCTTGGTTTCTACTTGCATGGAATATCTTTGCTATCCCTTGCACTTTCATTCTATGTGTGTCTTTAAGACTATGGTAAATCTCTTGTAGGCAGCATATAGTTGAGTCTTGTTTTTTATATATTCAGCCACTTTGTGTCTTTTATTGGAAACTTTAATCCACTTATATTCAAAATAATTATTAATAGGTAAGGACTTAATACTGCTATTTTGTAGTTTGTTTTTTGATTGTTTTATAGATACTTTGTTTCTTTATTACTCTTTCGCTGTCTTCCTTTATGATTTGATGGTTTTCTGTAGTGGTATGCTTTGAATTCTTCCTCTGTATGTTTTATGCCTCTACTATAGATTATTGCTTTGTGGTTACTATGAGGCTTCCAAAAGACATGTTATACAGGGTGTTTCAAGCTGATGATACTACACTTTTACTCTTCCACCCCCAAATTTTATATTTTTGACAGCAATGATATCTCTGATCAGGTTCCACTACTGGCAGGAACACAGAGCTACCCGTTAGATCCACAAGCAGGTATCTGGGAGCTCTACCTTCTTGCTTTGTTTCCACTTGACACCAGGGGATCTAGCTCTGCTGCTACCCCCATTCCCCTTGAGGCAAGATGAGTGAGCTGCTTTCAGGGCATCTCAATGCTAGGGAAGCAAGCTGGATGTCTACTTTTGGTTCTCTTTTCCCACTGTATAAACCATGGGCTTAGGAAAATCCTCCCTGTGTGACACTGTGCCAACTTGGGGGTGGGGAGGGATGTTGTGGTCAAAGTAAGACCATTTCTCTTACTCTTCTAATGCAGTTTTTATAAGGTTCTGTGGTCCACGCAGGTGTCTCAGTCTTATTCCCAAGTTTTGAGGTTTTCACAAAGGCGTTCTGGTCTGAATAGTTGCTAGTTGGACTTTCTGTTGTGGCTGTTGATGATGATGATGACGATATTGTTAAAACTAGGAGTTTTTACCTAAAGATAAAGATAATGTCATCCACACAAGAGGACTTAGAGGGGTGCCTACAAACAAAACTGAAATTTCGTCAGGAAAGTTTTCATACCTGACTAGGTGCTGATTGCCTAAAACTCTATAGCATGGAACGTTGTGAAATGATTTGGGCCTTGAAATTTTTCAAGAAAAGTGTATCACATCTTCATTGTGGCCATAGGGTGACTTTAATCATCCTCCCATGGAATGACTGGTTTGGAGCTTTATGGCTTTCTGCTGATAGACAACATAAGTGACTGAAATGTTTCCCCAGTAACTGAAGAAAATAAATTACAAAATAATGTTATTTGTTAAAGCAGTTGCAATTAGAAAAATCGCTGTCAGAAATAGATTTTACTTGTTGAATAGTTAATATAAAGCCATTTTTTCTAATAATATTCTGGATCTAATGAGAACCAATTGTTTGTTGAGAGCACTCCTGACTCTTGGCAGAAAACCTTATCAATAGGGTAAGGAAGAAGTTTGCATCTCTGTTTTGTACAGGCCTTCATTCATAATTGGAGTAATTAAGATGGAGTGAAGAAAGAGACCAGGATACAGTGCCGTTTTATGTGGTTCAGAATCATTACCTGATCTGTCAAGAGATGCTGATGCCATCTTACCTGTTGAGATTCAACGTCTACAGCTCAGCTTCTAATCAGCTCTTGCCCATCAGAGCTCAAAGCCAATGAGAGATCGATAATAGTTTCAAATAATTCTTGCCAGCCTTTTGCATAGGTGGTGTGTGATTGGTAGTGGAGTGGATGTGCTTGCATCCTCTTCCTGTAAAATGTGGACAGTGTAACCCACACATGTAATATAGTATAAAGGAGCTAGCATAAACTTTTAGTGGAATATTCAGCAATGTAATAATTTTATATATACAAAGATATCATTGCCCTTTTGAAAAGTTGTGGAGAAAATGTTTGAGTTTATCCAATTAGATTATAGACCAAAAAAGAATTCTGTTTAAAATGAAAGGTAAAAGGACTGTTGGCTTTCAGTGAATGACAGTGAATGAAAGCTAAAACGCAGAAGGCTCCTTGGTAGTCAGGAAGGTGGACCAAGGCCCGTCCCACCTTCTGCACACTTCCCTCGGATAAAACTCTGTTTGTTCCAGCTACTTGAAGGCTTTATACTCTGTGCTTTATTTGATTTTAGCCTATAAATTAGATGAGCTCTGGGGTGATTTTGCCGAGTGAACTGGAAGTCAAGTCGGACCCATAGACCGGTGAACCAGGAGTCCAGGAAGGAGCTGAAGGACAGATGAGCCTGTGAGAATGTGGGCGTGTGTTGGGGTGCACGTACGAGTGTGCTCATTGTGTCTCAAGGCTGAACGGGCTGGAGGGGGGCTTAAGAATTGGAAATGTCGTTCGGTGGCCAGTCTAGGAAGAAAGTCATTATTCAAGGAGAATCATTCTCCCGCCAAATCACTTCTTTCAGTGCTGAACAGCATGAAATAATTTCTGCTGCTTCTTGTAGACCACTGCTCTTCCAGACAAGTGAAAATGTGGCCAATAGTCCTACACTGGGGGACATCATTCCATTCAGCATCATCATTCAGTTTTTGTTCACCAGAGCACCTGCTGAGATGAAATCCCCCCTCCAGGTAAGGAAGTCAAGCCAGATCCTCTCGTGAGTCTTCCTATTAACTCTGTGAATACCGAGCCCCACTCCTGAGTGGCTTCCCTCTCCTGCTTTGTTCAGTCATGGATGTCTGTCTTGGACAGTGAATAGAGATTAGGAAAGGAAAGCTCCCGCTGCCCAGCATTTACGTTGTAAGTAGTGCAGAAAATTACCTGATGAATCCAGAATTAGCCGTTTTAAATAATAATAACACAAGTAATTTGTGTGCATAAAGCTTTTTTGATGGAGGCCCCATTTTCTTTGCCACCATCAGTTGGCAAATCCAGAAGCCTCCTTGGTAGTCAGGAAGGTGGACCGAGGCCGGTGCTACCTTCTGCACACGTCGCTCGGGTGGGTGTTGGGGCAGTTTCACCTTGGGGATCCCCGAGAGTGCTTTTCGAACCAGCACTTGCTGCCATTGACTGAAGAACAGGCACGCACTCCCTCTCTAATTGTGTTTTGACCCTGCAGAAGGCAGAGTGGTCCCACGCACGCTTCTCTCAGTGGCTGGATGACCATCCGTCTGAAAAGGACAGGCTCCTCCTCATCAGGTAAAGCCTGTGCTCCAGGGGCACCCATCCGGGAGGACAGGGGATGCAGGGGCGGGTGAAGGAGCAGTGCCTGGGTGGACGTGGACATGCGATTGCACCTGCCTGTGGCTGGCCACCTCGCTGCACGGGCACACACGACGTGCCGAGCACCAGCAGTCGGAACTATCGGGCATGACAACTTTTGCTCTCCGTGTCTTTCACTTCTAAACCTTCCACGCCCTCTTCTGTGTGATCCCGTGCCTCATGCAGGCCTAAGGAGCGTGCACTTCTAGCTTGGAACACCAACCTCCGCTATGAAAAGACTTGCCCTAGCTCCGTATTTTCTGCTTCATTTTGATGTGTTGCAGTTATTGAATTGGTAGAACAGAGATGTGAGTGAACTTTTAAAAACACCCAAGTGGGACATAGTTGTTAGTAGGAAACAAGGACAACCCAGCAGCCACTTAGATCCCATGAGTCCTCCGGGAGTGCCCACGAGTGCCTTTATGTACGTACACCTGTGTGCGCACACCACCCATGGACCCCAGCCGTGCCAGGTGGGATGCTGGGACCGTCACAGATGGCTTAGTGAGCACCTCTCTTCCATCAGCATTCTCCTCTGAAATTGCTCTCGCCGAAATCACCAGAGACCCCTAGCCACCTAACGTTCCCGTTCCTACCTCACGGCTCTGCAGCTTCAGCTAGAGTTGACACCATTTCCTTCTTTAAACTCATAAACTGACTCAACACGTTGCTACAGACGCCACGCTCACATTTTATTGGCATGCGAAGCCCTACGCTAGGAATTGAAGGCACAAAGTAAACTGAGGCACAGCTCTGCCCTCTCTGGGCTTCCATTAACACCACGGTCTTCTGTTTCTGTTCTAACTTCTCTAGCCACTTTTTTCTGTCATTTGCTGAATTGTCTTCTTCCGTCCACTCCTTACGTGAAATGCCATCATTTCACGTATTTTGTTCTTCTCATCCTGTCTGTGCGTTGGTCGTAGGTGAGCTCACCCAGACTCGTGCCTACTGCCTCTTCTGCCCTCCATGGCCCCTGCTATGTGACTGCCCGATTGCACGGGGCCTCAGGCCAGTACGCTTGCTGTCATATGTCGCCATGCCAGTACCCGACAGAAATCTCAATCCCAAAATGGTCAAAATAAGGCATCTTTCCTCTCAAGCCGTCTCGTTGTCCTATACTCCCTGTGTTGGTTGGGAGCTCCCCATCACCTAGCCAGCCAAGTGGAAGAAACCTTTAAATCATCATTCCCACTCCTGTGTCGCCCTCACTCTCCACACCTAGTCGGTTGTACCACTCAGTTCGTGAAGCTATTCCCAGCTGTCGAGGGGATTCGGATTCTGTTGGTCTGAGACCATGGCACCCAGTAGGCCTGTGTCTGAGCCTCAGTGCAGGGGACAAGTTGGGTTCCCCAGAGCCAGAGGGGTAAGTGGTGAGGCGGGTCTGAGCCACGTGTGCACATGAGAATCATTTACAGGGCTTCGAAAAATCCTCGGACCGAGGCCACACTCTTGCCTGCCTACCTCGGAATCTCTGCAGTTGCGACCTGGCGTCAGGATTTTTATAGCTCCTCAGGCAGGTCCACAGAGCAGCAAAAGGTGCGACCCACTGGCATAGTGAGATACATTCCAGTTGTCCGGTGGGAGGCTCTGCTGAGGAAGCTACAAGAGACCATTAGGAAGCATCAGCCCGTCTGTTTCCAGAAGTGGCACTGAGCCCTTAAATTTGGTACCCAGACCCCACGTGAGCCCCTGGCCCTTGGGCAGCTGTGTCTTAATAGATAGAGATTAGCTTAGGCCCGTGCTCTTCTTCCTTGCATATCTGTTAGTCACCTCTGAGTTTCTGATCCAGAAGTGGGGAAGGTTGCCGTGAGCCTCCCACCAGCCAATGTGGGTTGGGATGAGGGAGTCTGGGCCCGAGGCTAACTCAGGGATTTGCAATGTCTGTATGAATTTTTTCCTGAGTCCCAAAGATTCACTCAGCTGCAACACACTTGGTAATAGAAGAGGATTCAGTTAATTGAACAGGGTTCATTTTTGTCTTCTTAACAAGTTGGAATGAGTTCATCCCCAACAGTTGTCCTGCTGTGGGTACATCACAAATCTGTTTTCTTTTGCTTCTCTTTAAAAATGTCTCCTGAGTGATTTCATCAGCAGTGCTGTTGCTAAGCCTATATTTAGCAACTGAAAATCATGCTCAGAAATACTGTCGTGCTTTTTAAATAAGGCCTACCCATCCCTCCTCCACACATGGCCAATTCCAGAACCTTCATGCCCTGAGCAGAAAATTGAGCCCTCCTTGGGGGATACAAAAAAAACTGCACTTCTGCTGCACCCCAGGCTCTTGGCAAGGAGGGACCTTTGTCCTAGAGAATGTTCGTTCGTTCTTGTGTATTATTGCAAAACTAATTTTGTTCCTGCATACTGAAGCATCACTGGGTGAATTTCTTTCCCCTGTAGATAAACCGAGGGTGAGTACTCCTCTTTAAATGTCAGTAAATTTGTTTTGACTTCTGGGGCAAACCTTGTTGTATACTAATTCTGTTCCTCCCAGCATAATATGTTAGGTTGTCATAAAGTAGGGCAGACTGAGGAGAGTGTCACTACTGCTGCTAAATACATGGCAAATAATGAACTCTCTCCTGCCTTCCAGTTTCCTTTGACACCAGATGCTTTTCTAGAGCTTGAATGAATACTAGTGAAGTTAATTTGAAAAATCAGAGTAATCACTGACTCATGGGGCCAGGTGGTGTCAGTGAGGGCGGTACCCCTACTCAGCCCCCACCAGGCAGGTGCTGCAGACAGGCGTGTGCCCCCAGGTGCAGAGGGGCCGCCTGGCTAACACCTGTGGGGCAGTAAATGGTGAGTGTGTTTTCAGTGAAAATGAACGACGAGTGTTTTGTTTTGAGGTTTGGTGCTCAAAGGTCTTTTTAAAATTTTTTTCATTAATGTGGGTACGTAATAGTTGTGTATCTAATGAGTTTTTGATTCAAAGGTTTCTCAAGCTCTGCGAAGTGGTAGCGGTTGGCCTCAAATCCATCTATTCTGTGGTGGAGAAGCAGCAGCTCTTTTTGTTATGGCCTCTTTGAGTAGGAGTACACTTTTATGATGTCAAAAATGTTCACAGACTTTATGAGCATAGTGATACTTTGGTTATGGGAGAACGCTTGTGCCCATGCATCCTCGGATCCCGTGCCCTCCGGCCCTGGTCCAGGGCCTGCAGGCTGGGACCTGTCCTCTCAGCTCCTCCACACTTCTGCAAAGCTCCAAGATCCCCGTTGATGGACAGTAGTGTTTCTGCCCCTGGCAGCCAGTCACTACACACTTTCCAGTTCTGGGAACTGAGTGCTTGAGATGGGACCAAGAGGGAGGATGGAGCCAGGGAAAAGCCCGGGGTTAACTGCCTGTTGGGGCATGTGGCGTATCTGTAAGTCATTCTGTATTATAGTTCAGTACTAATCACACTGAGTACTTAATGCCTGATAAAAACCAACTTTGTTTTCTATGAAAACCTCCCCTTGACTATAGTTTCTATCACATTGAGCAGTGTTGCCATGTTACCACAAGCCATTCTTCTACTAATTGTGTGCTTTGTTTTGTTTTTCCCCAATAAGGATAACTTCAATAATCTACTTATTTTGGTTACAAACCAGAGTTAAGACTATTACATAATGCTTGGCCTGACTTCCAAGAAAGCTAATGTTTTGCTGAAGCAAATGAAATAATTTAATAAGTGCTTGAAAATCTTGCTCTGATTTTATGTGGGAGGGCAGCTTAATCTGTTTTTTACCCCAAACTTCTGATGTTTTTGATGAATACCAAAAAAAACTAACGAAACTCATTTCTGAGCTTTCTTCTACATATTGTATATTTTATGTGATTTCTTATCCTTTTAAATGCCAGTGAAAATGCTACGTTGGATTTTGTCCATTTATTAAATGGAATGGAAGGGTGGGGAACCTGTGGCCCTTGTTTCTCAGACTGATATGTATACCATTGTCTCGAAGACAGTTGGGCCTATGGGGATTTCTCCACCGCATATGAATCTGTGGGGACTACATCTGGGGCATGGGCAGTTTTCTGGGATGGCATAGCAACTGGACAAGTATTACTAAAAGAAGCAAGTTTTTTCATAGAGAAATAGCTGCATCAAGGGTCAGCTCTGACTTGAAGTAAGGTATCTCATAATTGTTCTCTAACAGTATTAAATTCCATCTTGCATGCCAGTTAAGAATTATGTATTAAATGGGATTTGGGACTGAGTATGTCAACTGAGTAATGGTATTAACTTACATCTTATTTAAAAAGCTATGTTTTGTTTTTTTGGTTTTTTTTTTTTTTTTGAGACAGAGCGTTGGCTCTGTCGCCAAGGTTGGAATGCAGTGGCATCATCACAGCTCCCTGCACTGGGCTAGAGTGCCGTGGCGTCAGCCTAGCTCACAGCAACTTCAAACTCCCGGGCTCAAGCCATCCTCTTCCCTCAGCCTCCTGAGTAGCTGGGACTACACGCACATGCCATGACACTTGGCTAATTTTTCTATCTTTAGTAGAGACAGGGTTTCACTCTTGCTCAGGCTGGCCTCAAACTCCTGGCCTCAAGCGATCCTCCGGCCTTGGCCTCCCAGAGTGCTGGGATTACAGGCCCAAAAAACTCTGCTGCTTAAATCGGGGCCTGCCCGTCCCTCTGCGTAACTAATTTCAAGTGCTCGTGCTCCGAGCAGAGTGTGGAGCCTGCCTTCAGGGATTCCAAAATGCCTAGACCCCGCTATTAGTAAGTCAAGGCTGTTGATACAGAAGTCAGACCTTTCCACAAATTTGTGTTACTCCAAGGTGGTTTCCATTCTTCTGTGCTAACTGGAGTTAGGAAAGGCATTTGTAAAAAAGGGAGCATTTGAAGCTGAGTCCAAAGAGATAAAGAGCTGTGCAAGGAAGCTGGCAAGGAATGGCATCCCAAGGGTAAGGGAGATAATGTGCAGGCCTAGGAGAACAGGTCTCGTGGGAACATTATCACATTAACTGAGACATTCACTGTGGCCAAAGCTAAACAGGCCCTTTGCCAGCCCCTACCTTGCTAGGTAGAGACATCTTTATTTCAAAGTACTAAACAAACAAACACCCTTGATCTTTCCCTAGGTTGGCAGTGGGGTTGGGCTAATAGTCACAAGTTGGGTAAAGCTGCTTTGCATATTAATTGGAACACAAACATGGGAACTAATGATTTGAGGCTCTTTTTAGGCCACATCAAGCTGTTTAAAACCCAGCAGTAGTGCAGAAAGGGCTGCGGGGGGGTGGAGGTCGATGCTGAAGCTGGTATTCAGTTTGTCGTCAGGCACTGTCCTATAGGGAATAGGGCATGGCAAGTGGTATCACAGCCAGGAAGAGCCCTCTTGCTGCAGTATGGAAGATTGACCAGAGCCCAGGGGAGCGACAGCACCTGGAGGACCACCACCAAGGAGGCTACAGCAGTCATTAGGATACAAGATAGCAAGGGGTCAAACTGAAGTGAAGGGAAGAGGGACTGGATGAGGAAATGTGTGTCGATAATTGATAGAGGGGTTTGAGGGTTTAGTGTTTGAAAACCACTTAAGAATTATGTATTCAATGGGACTGGGTACTTGGGAAGTTGAGGCAGGAGGATTGCTTGAGCCCAGGAGTTCAAGGCTGCAGTGAGCTATGACTATACCACTGCACTCTAGCCTGGGTGACAGAGTAAGACCCCTATCTTTAAAAAAAAAAATGAGATTGAGACTATGTGAGCTAGAGCAATGGTATTAACTTACATCTTTATAGAAATGCTCTAATCTCAAAGTATGAAATTTTGAAGGAAAAAATATGACAAAAATCAATTTGTATACCTGGGACTTAGATACACCAGTAATGAAAAATTAACAATCTCGTAACCATTCTTTTTAGCTCCACTTAAACAGATGATCTGGTCCAGAGACTGGCAAACTTTTTCCTTAAAGGGTCAGAGCAGCTTAGACTTTGCAGGCCATACGGTCTCTGCTGTAACTATTCAGCTCTGCCGTTACAGTGTGAAGACAGCCATAGACGATAAGTGAACAAGCGTCGGGCTGGGTGTGGCCTGCAGGCAGCTTGCTGACCCTTGATCATGAGATCATAACAATAAATAACTGAATGGTACCACATACCCTCAATTAAATTCAGACTGCTTCCTCATCACCTATTTGCCAAAAATCAGAGCCCAAGAGCGTTATTCTAGTTGTGGGTTGTTCACAGTTCATCTAACAGGAATATAATGCACCTGCTAGTGTTCCTTCCTGTGCATGCCAAAGGGCCCCACCACCCCAGCACTCCTGAGCACGCCTTTCCAAGGTGCAGGCTGCCCTGGTAAGCTCTGGGTACAGGCACAAGCTGCTTGCAGCTTTTCAGAGGTCTCTTTAATAGGGAAGTAAAAGGAGGGAAACCAAGCACATACTTAAAGGCCAGAGAGCCTGTGAGTTATATGACTCGTCAGTCCATGTATATACACTAGTCCAAGTATACGACGACTTAGATCACTAAGTACAGACCAAAAAATGGTTTTGCACACTAACCATAGTAAAACAACCAATAACTGTTTGAACGCTGTTGGTTACTTGGTTTGTAGAACTAAGCAGTTTCAGAAATGAGCTTATTCCTATTATATTGATACCTCCTAAGCTGTTGTATGTAATTTATGTAATATTTTGACATTGTTTTCATTTTGGTTTTCAGGGGAGCCCTGGAAGCTTATGTCCAGACAGTGAGAAGTAGACAAGGAAAAGAATTTGCACCAGTTTATCCCATAATGGTTCAGCTGCTTCAAAAAGCTATGTCTGCTCTTCAGTAACAATATGAAATCCAGTCTCCACTTCATGCTAACCCATTCCCAGTTGTCAGTTAAGTAACATACTCTAAAATTTAGGCAGCAACTATCCACTATTTTAAGAATGTAATGGATTTTTCTATATTTCCTGCTGATCTCTATTTGCTTCTTTAGCACTTCCACTTTAAGTAGCATAAAATATCAAAACAGATTCTTCATCACAGCCTTTAAAATTCATGGACCTGATTATTCCAGAAAGATTCTAACTTTTCCTTTCAGACTTTTGTACAAGGCTAAAATTTCTTTCTTATCACCTGAGTTCCGCTATGGGTTCATCCACTGCTTCTAAAGGGATATGAATAAGTAGCCTGTTTCCCCCCAGCTGCCCTCTTCCCTAGTAAGTGTGCAGCTCAGTGGTTCCCAAATATGGGTGCACATTCACAATACCAGGGGAGTTTTAAAAAAAATCCTGATGCCCGACTTGCATTCCACACTAATTAACATATCTGGGGGAGGGAGCCAGGCATCAGTACTTTTTTTTAAAAATCCCCACAATGATTCCAATATGCAACAAAGTTTGGGACCCACTAGCATATCTAAAACTAAGATGTAAGGTTAAATGTTCTTGTTTAAATATGTCATACTGAATCTTTAAATAAAGCAAGGCTTTCTTTACACTTTGTCATTTTATTAAGAGCAGACTTTGGGGGTGGTTAACCTTGTAACAAAGTTGCCAAGTGAAAAATATTTTTTATTCTACAAAGATTCTCTATAGATAGATAATCTAAGTCCTTATTTGTTTTATTGCCTTTGCCCCACTATTAACATTTTTGTTTTTAAATCCCAACAGCAGCCTCCTAATTGTAAATACAAAAGTCTAAATGTTTAAGTTTGCCTTATGCTTTGTATCTGCTGAACCTGTTATTCTGACAACTCAAACATAAAAATCAGTCAAGTAAGTCAGAGGTAAACAACTTTTTTTTTCATTTTATTTGAAATAATATACAAGAATATAGTGTGCAAAATTTAGGGGCAACATCATGAAGAAGTGTAATGAACTGAAATCAATTTTACAGCTGTGATTCCTAACCAGAAACACCACTTGGTAAGTAACATGAAAAGCCATGATTGTAGCTCAGAGCAAAAGTAGCTGTATTGCCAATGTATTTGCTCTAATTTTAGACAGTTGGATGAAAAGTAAAGTGCAAGTGTTGCACTGCAATAAGTGCAAAGTCTGCCCCCACCATAAAGATATGATGACAAATATATTTAAGATATGTGGCTGAGGAGATATAGAACACAAAGTTAAAAAATACAATGGTGTTGACTGTTAATAGCACCATTACAGTGACTATATCCCAATGCTATTAACTAACTTTATCTTGGCCTGGGCTAGGTCTCCATTGGAAATAATGGATGGCTGCTGCCACCTGGTGCATAAACTCAGCATGCCATGGGAACTGCAGCAGGTGGCTCTTACACTGGGACACTGACACCAGCCACCTGCCACGTGTTCTGGTAGCCCCTTGGCACTGCCACACTAGGAGTGCCTGCATTTGGCACAGATGCATGTGGTGGCTGCTCGAGGAAAGGCCGACTCCCAGCTTCTGCTTCATTCCATCATGTGTACAATACAGATTAATAAGCAGTAAGGAGCCAAATGTATAAACAGCAGTTACATAAATTCCCCTTTCGTACAATTTAAAATAAAACATGTATACACTTGTCCTCTCTCTCTACTGTACTTTAGCACCACAGGGTATCAATTTTCAAGCCTATATTACCTGATAGACATATATGAAGTTTGGAAGAAAAATAAGGCAATTTGGTTTACAATGTTGATAGTTTTAGCTTACTTAATGCTCTAATGGAGAAAGCAAATCCTCACTCATATTATTAAATCATTTCAAGACTCAATGCTATCAGTATCTTACGGTCACACAAATTCAGGACAAATGGTGAGACCTTGATCTTCTTAAGTCTTTCCATCAAGAGTCAATGTTTATGCAAATATAGACTTAAGAACACAAGCATCCTGGTTTAATGTTGCTGTGAGCCCTGTGGAAATAAAATTAAATGCAGTGAATGTTTACAAATCAATACGTGGGTAATTCCATATGTGAACGCTAAGATGCGTAAGATAACGTTTGTAAGTTCACTATTAAAAATACTGTTCTCTCAAAGGTTATTTCAAAATTTGCTAGTATCTGATGGTTCAAGCATCCAGAAAATTTATGAAAAATAAGACAGGATGAACAGAAAAGAAAGGTGATACAGGCAAAGTCCCACTACGTGAAATTCTAAATTAACAAAGAACTTCCAAAATCCAGTCCAGCCATCTTCTCACCTACTTCTTTAAAAGAAATTCTTGAAAATTTTAACAGATGTGACCTGCACATTACTGAAAAATAGGTAACATACTGAAACATCCTTGCCCAGCCCTCTTCCTACAACTACTACTGTCTTCACTTCTAGTCTACCAAGTGAAATTTTCTTAAAAGATGCTAGTCTAATAATGGAAAAATTCTAAGCACCAAGTCTATCCAAGATAGATTTTAGTATGAATTTATTTACCACCCTTCCCGGGCCTTTCTATTTCTTCTCCTTCTTGAGGTTTTTAATCCAGAAATTCTGTGCCAATGGCAGAAGTCCCTATGAAGGTTAGTATACCCCCAACACCTCCATCCTCATTAGTCTCTCACCAATTAAAGAAAAAAAGGCTGTTAAGACACACCACCAAAAATCAGAGAAATTTTCTACTGTGATATTAATGGGTTAATAATGCCCATCTTCCAACCCAATTAGAAATAATATATTCCAAAATTATTGTTTTACCTTAACATTTAAAACATTCTTTTTAAAGTTTGCCTGAGATTTCTACTTCCATGCAAACAGGATATGGCATATGATGAAAAGAAAAGCAGTCTTCCTTATATGATGATGGGAAAACATTATTGGCCTCTGAAGTATGAAAATGCTATAAAAGAGTGTCACTACAACCTTTTAAAGGTTGTAACAATTGCTCCAACATGCCAGTATACCTATGGGGTAAGTCAAAATAATTTTAAACAACTACTTATTGAAACGTACTGAATTGGTTCTTTTCCTTTTCCAACAGTCAGGATTTAAACGTTTCTGTTCTTCAGCCAAAGCCTTTGCTTCTAATGTGTACATCCTTCTCTCTTCATTCTTCATTTTCTTCCACCTGTCACCCAGGATCACACTTATGGCTCTGTAAAATACATATTTACAAAATGCTAAAGGCATTAATTTTTCATAAAGCTCAAGTGCTGCTACATCAGGAAAAAAAATGTGAAGTTAAAAAAAAAAAAGGCAAAAATTTTGTCCAACATAGAGAAAGCAAAAGGTCAAGGCTATAATAGTTATTTCCAGTAAAATCCCAAGTCCTATGGTCCATTTATCATAATCTCAGCAGTTAAAGCCCCCTGGGACAGTGTCAATATTCCCAATTGTCAAAGGAATCTAAAATGACTAGAAACTGGATATTGTACAAAGCTTCTATTTAAAGAAAAAATTTTAAGATTTCAAAGAAAAGGTTTAAATTATTAAATTATTAGATCTATCCTTGTACATCAGTTTTTAAAAGATGTTTAAGGTATAAAGGTAAGACTGTTCAGTATCAGCGTAAAGTATTCAACTCGTATTAAAAGTTATTCTTACATATTAAAAGTTATTCTTATGTTCTATTTATGCCCATAACCTATCAAAATGTTATGATAAAGGTCTTTTTTTCATTCCTGCAACCATACTGAAAATGTAGAATTAACTACATATGCTTATCTGTAAAGATGAAACCAATTAAACCTTAGGCAATGTTCATACTTATTACTTGAGAAAATTGGATAAACTCCAAACAGTACGGAGAAGTCAAACTGATAGGATTCAGCATGATAGAAATTTGAAACTATTTTCCTATTTATACTTGTCACTCTGCTACCAAACCTACTAAAATAGTCTCACCCAGGGCATGCAGACATAAACCACATTCCTTCTATGAAGAGCTATTAACCATTCATTCTGTGACACTCATGCAAGACAGAAGGTCCTGGAATGACTATACAAAGTATATACAAGTGATTTTCTACTGACTGATAAGGAAACTAAAGATAGGCATATGTGATTTACAATAAACACAGAAGCTCTACTACTTAAAAAGAAATTAAGTTTGTGTAAGTTTACTTGTCTTTTTATCTAATAAGTTGATGCAATTAAACATTGTGCTGCATCTTCCTTTAGTAAAAACCAATTTTTATAGTCTTTGGGTTAAAGGTACCATACAGTGGTTGGCACACTTACTAGTTAAACAAATCAGTAAGAAATATTCACACACATACTACACCCCCATCTCAGTCTTTTAAAGTAAGAAAAAAATGTGAAATGTTTTTGAAGGGGGTGGTTATGTGACACTTGAGAAACACATTTATTGCTCCTTTAAAAGATGACAGGTAATAAAATGTGCAAAATGATACAGACTATTATCTGTATTCCTTTCCATAACAATAAAGTACATACATCATCTAAAGAAGATTATTTTTGCACTGAGTGCTACATGCAGATTGACGATTATATGAACTATGTCTCTCTGACTGATCTATCTCTAGATGTTAGGTGATTACCAATATATCACATGGGAGCAATGCTAAAATGCGAAGAAAAAATTAGATTTATGAGCAAAAAGGGGTATAACCTGATACAGAGATCCTTAAAAAAAGAACAGAAAACACCTAAAGCTATTAATAAAATGAGATTTACACTCTTATAATCAGGACAATCCAATTACAATTACAAAGAATTATAAATAAGTCCAGAATGCATCCTGACTGACATTGTCAATGGCTGGGGAAGAGACTTATTATTAATGTCATACAGGGACATGAATCCTGTATTTCTAGATGTCAGAGGACATATCTAATAATTAAGGTACCAGATATGTACAAAAAAATGCAGCATAGCACCTCTCACTAAATTCCTAAGGTGGCCATTTTCTCAGGAAAAAAAAACTGAGCAAGGAGAAAAGGTGTAAATTATTCTTAAAATGCCTTTAAATCCTAAAAGTATATTTTCTGTGAGAATAATCACACACCACTAGTCACCAGAGAAGTGGACTTCCAAAATGAATTTTAAAAAGTTAAACCCATTCTTGTTACTGATGAAGAAATGAAAGATTAGAACTTGGGTTAATTGCCCGAAGTCACACAGATGACAGACCCAAGAGTTAAAAATTTCAGTGGTGTTGAGAAAGCCCTTAGAATTCTTCACTGAGTAGGAATCTAAAGAAACAACCAGAAACTAGGACAAAGTTATTCATTAAAGTGTTACTTGTAATATTTTCAATGGAAATACACGTATGTATCAATTCTCAAATGCATTTGGGATAAGCTTCTGTTTTTAAAATGTAAATACTTCCACTAGGAAGGACTTGAGTTCATTTTTATTCCTGGGTTCTACTGAAGACAACTTTTGACAAGTCGGCAACTTACTACAAATTCCATAGTAGGCTCAGTTATCTGTCTAGGTATTATAAAATAATTATACATGCCCTAAAAATTCCACTTAAACTTTTTACTTTAATGTCAACTTAAGAAAATAGAATTCAATTAAAGCTTTGGAAGAATAAATGTACTTAATAACTATCCCAGTTGCTGTGAATAGCATTGAAGTGTTTAGTTATTATGGGTAAGATTTGTCACTATTTTTACCTGTTATCTTTCCCTGGATACATCTGAGTATATTCAACTCTGTATTTTTTGGCAAAAAGCATGAAGGCATTCATTGGTCTTTTGCACTTATTAGGAGAAGTTGCACTCACAGTCCCTGAGCTGTGGTTTTTGACAGCTTTAGCATATAAAGAATTCGAAGAGAGCTGTGATGATCCAGGTGAGCCACAGTTTTTACTGAATCCAGATCTTGCAAAATCTTGACCACCAGGTCCTCCACAAGACAAAGATGCACGACGTTGACGAGCCATACTACTTAACACATAAACTGCAGAAGAATCCATAGGTGTGAAGTCATAGCTATGAAATTAAAAAAAATAAAGTTTTAATTCAATTTATCCAATTTCTATAAACAGGGTTTTAAAAAAACCCTTAACATTTGATTGGAACTTTCAATGCATTTTCCCCTATATAATTTACCAACACTACTTTAACAACTTTTGCCACTGACAGTTCTTTATACTAATAAAATGAATTCTATATATGCATTGACTAAAATTATTACTTTAAAAAAAAAAAAAACCTCTGCAGATAAAAGTAAAAAAAAAAAGACTTCAACCCTCCCCAAAGGAATATTATAATCAACATGCCTTCTTCATAGCAAGTAACTCCTCCAAATCCCACACAACCTACTTATTCTTACTTCAAGTTCACTTCTTGACAAATCTGCTAATGTGATTTCTAGCCTAGAGCTAGAAAATTAAAGTGAAGTGGAGGCAGTATACCAGGCCTAACAACTAAATACTACAGAACACAAAAGGTTGGATAAAGGCAGTCAAAAGCTATTAAATGCAGCTAAAGAAACTTAATATGCCCCATAATCTGGATCTTTTCCTTATGTAAAAAGTCACACACATGTATCAGTTTCCCAAAAGGCCAACTATGTACTATAACATTGCCTAGTAAGTTCATAGTAAAAACGAACCTTTATCAGGAAAGGCTACATTTTGTTCTGCATATCCAGTTTACATAGGCATGGAAATAAACTATCCATATTATTCTCTCATCTCCTCAACAAACCTGCTGGAAGGGTATCATTATGCCCTCTTTTATATGAAGAAAAAAGCTAAGAAAAGTATATTATTCACCCAAAGCCACACTGCTAGAATCCGAACTCAGATGATCTGTCTACCTTCAAAGCCCCAGGTTTCCTCAACAGTACCACGGTACCTCACACATTGCTACTGACTCAACTCAAGGTGAACAGATAATAATCCTATTAATTGAAAATATTAGCTGAAAATTAGAGCTAATATAGATCACAGCCTAAACATACACCAGTCAAAAGAATTTTCTTTTGTTCCAACTGTTAACTCTCTGCCTATAGTAATTTGTATCTTCTTGGCAAAAAATCTTTTATTCAGAATCCAACCCCTATTTCACTCCCTGAAACAGAAATTCTGGTACTATACAAAATAAGTTGATACTGGCTGTAGGAACAGTATCTGCCCAAAGGTGAAGCACATGAGATTAAGAAATATTCTTAAAGGCCGGGAGCGGTGGCTCACGCCTGTAATCCTAGCTCTCTGGGAGGCCGAGGCGGGTGGATTGTTTGAGCTCAGGAGTTCGAGACCAGCCTGAGCAAGAGCGAGACCCCATCTCTACTAAAAATAGAAAGAAATTAATCGGACAACTAAAACTATATAGAAAAAATTAGCCGGGCATGGTGGCGCATGCCTGTAGTCCCAGCTACTCGGGAGCCTGAGGCAGTAGGATCGCTTGAGCCCAGGAGTGTGAGGTTGCTGTGAGCTAGGCTGATGCCAAGGCACTCACTGTAGCCAGGGCAACACAGTGAGACTCTGTCTCAAAAAAAAAAAAAAAAAAATTCTTAAGACAGATGAAAAGCTAAATGAGCTAGGTCCATGCCATTTACTACACATAGTAAAAATGACTTTTAGCAATTACCAAATATACATTTTTTTCCTTAAAGGTATTACATGAAATAATGTACTTAAACTATCACTGCAAAATTATCTCATGAATGCTTAGCAATCAGTATATCAGAGAAACAATTTTTGCTTTCTGGGTTTGCAAACTTCCATAAAAATACTATAAGCCCCCTCATACATAATTTAGAAAAATAGCAAACTTCACTACAAATAAATCTGACGCAAAATTATTAATCTCTTCTGAAAGAAAATAGTTACAATTTAAAAATACCAAAAGATACAAGGTAAACTAATTACTAAAATGTGAAAACCCCACCATCTAGTGGCACAAATACAACTATCATCTATTTCCATTATGGATACAACTTAAATCAGCTTGAAATCACAAAATTCAGGTTTTTGACATGACTACAGCATTAAAGTATGACATAGGACATCTTTACCAACAGCTTAATGTTTTGCTATACCACCTCAGGTAAGTTTTCATTCTCTTCACTAAAGCACCTATAGTTTCTCAAATGTGCCTTGTTTCACACCCCTACTTTTTTTGTACATGCCATTCCTTAAGCTTAGAATGTTCTTTTCCACTTCACTGTCTAATTACTCTTGAAGGCAAACTCCACAACAATGTAGTGCCTATTAACTATGTCACACGAATTAACTCATTTAATCCTTTTTCCAATATTATCTCCATTTTATACAGACTTCTGAAAAAGAAGAGGCATGGCCATTCTTAACTCATTTTTAAATTAATTCTGGAGAACATAATGTAAAATTTTAATTGGGTTCAAATTCCAGCTTTGCCACTTATTAGCAATATGACCTTGGGCAAGTTAAAATAAATTTTTCATTCATTCATTCATAGACAGGGTCTTGCTCTGTTGCCCAGGCTAGAGTGCAGTAGCATCGTCACAGCTCAGTGCAACCTCAAATCCTGGGCTCAGGTGATCCTCCGACTTCAGACTTCCAGTATAATTTTTCAATTTTTTTTGTAGAGATGGGGTCACACTATGTTTGGGCAAGTTAAATAAACCATCTAGCCTCAGTTTACTTATCTGTAAAATAAAGAGAATACATGCTATGAGGGGTTGCTGAAAGAATAATAAATGTAAAACAGGGCAGAGGCTGGCACAAAGTTGTATTCAATTAGGGGTATCTGTTATTGTAGAAGTAGATTAGGAGACAAGACTGCTAAATTTGGAATCTTTGTAAGATACAGGTTTGAATCTTAATTCTGACAGTAATTGGCTTTGTTTTGGGCATGTTCCTTAACCTCTAACTTTACTTCTCTTTTTCTCTTTCTGTAGAATGAGGATATAATCTGTCAATAGGGATTGAAGATTAAAAAAATTAACATATGTACAGTACCTGGCACATAGTAAGCACTTAATAAATTTGTTAAATTATCACATTACTTGAATAGAAATGTCAACTTCACAAAGTCAAAAGTGACTGTTTTGTGTAATGCCTAGAAGGTTAGCCTCGACTGACAAAGTCTCAGAAAGGGCTTCTGTAAAGCACGCTCTCACTTGGAAGCCTCCTTTCTAGGGTAGAGCTTTGAACTGTGTTTAAGAGCTCATCAACTTATTGTTAACTTCTTACAGTTCTTACCAAGCTAGAAACCACCCGAGTGTCGTTCCCTGTAAACCATGATCCAAGGGCTTGTCCCAAATCCCCAACAGACCTAAGAATTTATTCTGGGGTTCCATCTTGGACTGTTTCCTCTCCCTGCCTTTCTTTTCCCTTCTTGCTCTTCCTATGCCAGATATCATTTCCTTTAATCCCCAAGTCATAATCAAATCCACAAAGAAAATTTAGCCAACTTCATGTTTCTCAACTTTTTCATGGTTCCTCCTGGATGAAACTGCCCATTTCCACTCCTTTGCAGGAGGGGAAAGGTGACCATTGCTGTTACATTACAGCCACTCAACAGTAAAATGAGACCAGTGACCATGGTCATCTTGAAAGGGATTAGTATCCAGTGAGATCAAGTGATGAGACTTTCCCATCTCAGAAAAACAGGAATTAGGCAGCCAAGTTTTCCTTTTGCCTTAAGAAGCAAAGTTTTGCACTATGTAATACTTAACATATAAAAATATATAACATATATCTAAGTTATAAAGCACACAAATATCAGTGAACCCACAACCCAAATTAAGAAAACATTTCTAATAACACTTTAAGTTCATTTGCTACCCCCAGAGATAACTATTCCCTTGAATGGCTTATCATTCTCTTATTTTCAATAATTTCATTATAAAAATAATATTACTCAATACTGCTATCCCTTCAAACGTCTTCTTACGAGGTTGGCCCTTGACTGGCATCTAGAAGTAGGATTTCAGGAGGGTTCCCATCATTCCCACAACTGATAAAGATAGCTTAGTATGCCTAAGCTGTGTGTACAAACAACATGGTTTACCCTGAACAGCCACTTTCCTTTGGAAGTTTGGAATCTGGGTACGTGCCAGGCAGAGGAAACCCTGGGTGCCGAGTGTCTAACAGGCTTTCCTGGTAGACATTTCACACGTGTTGTCACAACTCACTGCTGGGGGAATTAACTGTGTCCTGTACATCAGCACTGGGAGAGATGCCTGGAAGCTTGGCTTCCTCCAGACTTCACCCCCTGTCTTTTCCCTTTCCTGATTTTGCTTTGTATGCTTTTACCATAATAAATCATAGCCATGAGCACAGCTAAATGCTGAGTCTTGTGAATTCTCCCAGCAAATCATCAAACCTGGGGGTGGTCTTGAGGGACTCCAGACATGATTATACAATGTATATTACAGATAATATATAAAGCTTATATACTTATAGTTTTATTAGATATATTTCTAAAGAACATGATTCCATAAAAATAGAATATTGTTTACTTCCGAGACTTATTTTTACTTGGCACAAATACAACTATCATCTATTTCCATTAT